CCATGGCAAAGGGCAGGTTGGATGAGGAGAAAGTGAAGCGTCTTGAACGGCTGGGCTTTATTTCGAACGTAATTACTTGACGATCAGTGGGAGTCAGCATTCCAAAAGCTAGTTGTTTTACAAATCTGAGAATGGAGATGTAGTCACGTAGTGGTCCCTTACTTCAAGCTTGGACGTTGGGTACACAGTCAGCGTCAAGCCATGGCAGAGGGCATGTTGATTGAAGGGACGGCAACTTGCATTGAAGCCCTCTGCGGCATCTCGAAGATTAGTGGGCTTCGGCCCAAAGACTAGTTGTCCACAAATCCGATAATGGAAATGTAGCAGTTCTACACTTGTTGTAACAAAGAGCAGGTTCAAGTTTGGCCTCGGCCTCGGATGAATATTTACTCCGCGTGAGGCAATGGCAAAGAAAAATCTGAGCGAGACAAGGGTTAAGCGCCTTGAGAGTGTGGGAATGATATGGCCTGACATGAGTCCTCTGTTGAAGAGTCCTAAAGTCCTGAAGGAAAGGCCAGGCTGAGCATGCTTGCAGATTGGGAGAGGGCTGTCACTGCCAAAGGCATTCTTAGTCACTTGCTTGCAGCACGACAAGTACAACAGTCAGTGGAGAGTCGGCGGCAGTGACGCAATTGCAACCAACCATTGACATCTACCAACTACCCACCATGCACCACATCTGAGGACATGCATGTTGAGGCCGTTGTCATTCACAAAGCCCAGATAACCTGACTCACTGCTGGCATCCGCAAACCACTCCGTACTAAGAACATACCAAGAACATCCAAGAACCAAGATCGGGTTCCAAAGATTAGTTCAACTCCAACACGCCCAAATCGCCAGGAGTCTATCAAATTCCTCCGGCCTTGCCCTACCCCGTGGACCGCTCCCAGCTGCATGACGATCTCATGGTGCCACGGCGAGCGGCTCGACTAGGTTACGACCGGTGCCCAGTTGATGCACCAGAACCGTCCTGGGGCGAGAGATGTTTGAGAGTGTTTGGAGTGCAGATGGGTGATCTTGTGCAACAGATTGAACAAATAAACTGGAGATGACTCAGTTCAGCCACCCCTGAACTTCAATTTGTCTTGGCTTAATCGCTCCCTACATATCATATCAAGAGTTTTTAGGGGGCAGGGTTATCTAATCAAGATTGATTCGACATAATGCTCAGTCCACTCTGCTGGCGATGGAAATTGGGGCAGGGCATCCAACCTACCTGCGAGTCGATCCACCAGATCCACCCGCCGCCCAACGGTCGGAAAGCCCGTTTTCGGGGGCTTGAGACAGAGAAGAAGGGGTTGTGACACGGTTGCCAAGCTGGATGTTCCCAAGCTGAGCATATATACTGTAGTTACAAGGGATGTCCATGAAGGGGATTCCACGGTTGGATTCTACCTCAGGTTATGATGCAGTGGTTTCGTATAAAACTTGCAGTAGGCGTTTCTGGTGCTGATGTTTGGCCCCCGTTTTGTCTCCCCAAGGACAGCTCCACCACCTCATTCGCGGGCGACACACGTGATGGCTGGCAGCTACGAGGAGCGCCTCACGAGATCCGAGTTGGATCTTAGTGATAAAGTTATGTTATATAGTTATGTTATGTTATTTTCGTTATATTTTGCATGGAGCAGTGCAGGTCACAGCAAGATGTTGAACCTGTCCAAAGTTTTTTGTCAATTGTTGCCTCATCTTGTTTGAGACTGTCTCACCGCTTTGAACCCTGACTCGTGCCGTGTTTTGTAAACCTGATTCCCTCTGACAACACGTGCCCCCCATCCAACGGGAGCATGGTTCTGTCAAAGCCGCGTAGGCCGTACATTGTGATCCTTAATCACTTGAGACCTCTCTTTTTTGATGGCCCTTCTCTTCAGCTAGCAGCTGGCCGATCCCTTTTGACGGTCTAGAATTCGCATCATGGTTAGAGCATGTTAGAGTCTAGAGTCGTGGTTTTGCTGGTGTGCATGAGGAGCCCTGAAGCAGCACATGCTGATCCTGATGCCCAAGTCCTCTTTGGCATCGTCTCACTGGGAGATGATGAGGCCATTGCTTGCATGTTGGGCCCCCATCAGTAGATTTTGGTCATTCTTTTGCAATCAGATCCTGGCGGCTAATCATGATCATCTACTTCTTTCATGGTGATGGGAGCTGGATGTTTATTAGGACATAGCCATCACCGATGAAACTAAGCAGGCACCACAAGGTATAGTATGTTATATATAGTCACCCTCCAGTGCATTTTAAATGGAAACTGTCCGTATTGGGAACTCCGCAGTGTTCAGCATTTGGCAACAATTCAATCATGTTTTCCTCTTGAAGGATGATTCTTGAAGGATGATGAGACCATAAGCCAGCCCTACAACTTTTACCATCCCCAAGATGAATGCTCATAGTAATCCCACTCATGCCGCTGGCGTCAATCCCATCGGCTAGTTCATCCATGGCTTGGGATTTCATCGGGCCTCTGACCTCAACTCCTCGACCTTGCCGCATCCAGGTGCGTTTTGGCCCGACTGGGTGGGCAAATCACGATCGGTACCTCGGTGGCCACCGTCCTTTCTGGGCGGATGGGGGTCATGAGTCATGGGTCATGCAGCACTGGGGATACAGGATGATCAGGATTGTCCACTTTCCACTTCTCCTTAGCTTATAGCATGCAGAGTCGTAGGTTGCATGCGTCCAGTTTTAGGGAGGCAACTGGGAGCCAGTGGGTTTTCACATCTTCCATAAGAGACTCTGCCGCTATGATGAGGCAAGGACCCCTTTGATGCCTTCTCCGAGATTGGCGCCTTTGAAAAGAACCAGGACGGTATTGGGTGGGTGGGCTCGTGTGGATTCAAGTGGTATGGCTTCCATTCAAGGGTAGCTGGCTGGCAAGCTTGTGAGAGGAGCAGTGAAGGATGCACATCTGAGAACTTGGATGGCCTGTAGGACATAACCCCATCTCCTTGCTTTGCGAAGCTGTAGATGCAGTCCATCACCTTCACTAAAGCCCGGAGAAAACAAAAACTTCTAAATGACTGCTCATGGACACGATATTGTTTGAACAAACGCATTTGGATCATGGCGCTTCCCTCAACCCCCTTTGACTTCGTTCAGAAATCCGCTCCTTGGCGCGCTCCTCGCGCGAGCCGCAGGAGATGCTGCTGGAAGCGCTCCTGGAGCGCCAGGCGCGCGTCATCGAGACGGCCTCGGTGCCTTGGAAGGACGTGAGTCACGTCCCCGGCGTAGGGATCCAGTACCCGAACCTCAGGAGATCGGTACGACTGGACCGGACCTTTTGGCACCTACATAGGGTAGATGTGGATCATTGTGGATCCATAGGGTTTAGGAGGATGGCATCGGCGGACGGTTTTAACAGGCGGTTTCCAGAGGTTCCATGGCACATTGATGGCACCAATATGTCCAGGTTTGGTGAGGTTTTGTATGGACCTCCATCAGACATCTTGGGGTGCCAGTGTCATCTACTCTTGAACCACTGTAATCCTCAAGCAGATGCATATGTGGAACATATTCTCAACATTTCTGTGCCACATGGCTTCATTTCTGTGTAATATGCTTGAGGTGTTGTGGGATTTGTTCCTCAGATCAATCAGATCCCTTTTGTGTCAGACCAAGGACTGCACGTCCTTGCCCTCAAGAGGCACCTCGAGGACAGTGTTTTTGGGAAATTGGGAAGCATTCCGGACATCAGGTTGGTTGTGAGGTGATTGCATCAAGGGCAACCAGTGACGCGAAGACAGAGCATTATCATTAAGCCAGAGGGCAGTTGGATGTACCCTCTGACTCACTAACATAGAAGTGGAAAACCACCTGTTGGTAGTGGAAAATGGTCTCCCCTAAAACCATTGTCCATTTCCAGTTAGTGAGTGGGAGCGTAACTTGTTGAAAGCTCTTTGCCAAGCTTGCACAGCTGATAAGCTTCAGACCCATCCAGGCGGCTAACGGGCTTTTTGAAGGCCGCTGGGTGCCAAGGTTTTTGTCTTGTTGGCTAGCGGTGCTTGCAGAGAGCTCAAGGCAATTACTGTATATAGAAGGCATGAACACCACCGAAGGTCAACGAGCACTCTCCTCAACCGACCTGTGATGCTTCCAGGATCTCCCAGGTTCAAGCACTCTTCGCCCAAGACCCGAACTATCCCCCAACTGATTCATTTCACAGCTCCTCCCTGTATCACCCACCTGTACACACATATATATATATATATATATATTAGAGAGATTCCTGTCTTCCTGTCACTGGAACAGTCAGTTCCATGCACTAGATATTCATTACATCCACATATTAGTTATTGGAAATATAGACCAATCTGGCATGAACCAAACACGGAGCGCCCAAATAATCCCATTTGTGTGTGTATGTATGCAACAACAATATAGATATTGATATGTGTATGTATATATACATATATTTTTTATTGCATACTGCGATAATATTTTACGGTGCCCGGGCCCCCAGATCTCAAGCCCTTGAGATCCTAATTACAAAGGACAAGCTTTTGAGTTACCCACCGTCGCCCGAATCCACTCAATCCACTCTGAAGGAATGACTTCCCGGACAAACGGCCACAGGCGCATTTGTGGCGTATCAAATGGTACAAGTATCAAGAAGTCTCTATGTTTGTTTGGTGTTTGCAATGATGTCAGCAGATGTCAGTCTTTGCCTATTTGAGCTTGGATGCTCGGATCTCCGACAAGATTGGCACCATTTGTGTGTCCTACTATGTGTGTGAGGAGAGAGTTCGTGTGAAGGAACTGTGTTTGTCCCTGCCTTGGCTAAGCAATCAAGCGGAGCCATTCTCGCCAAGGTAACCCTGAGCTTATCTTCGCAGCTTCGTGGTCCAAGGGGGATTTCAATACTACATAATACACCCGGGAAGAAACCCACATGGAACCTGAACATGGACCTTTGGAAGACGATTTTCCTCTACAACCCGGTTTTCAACTTTCATGTTAATCTTCCAGAGCGTATCTAATAATTATAGTTATAGACACTCTATGACACTTTAATAGCTGAGCTCTCAACTGGTCTTCTGAATGAGAGGCACGCTGCCCCTGCAGTGCACCCACGATGCAGGCCTTGAGTGAGGACACAGTCGTCCTGAACTTCGAAGTGAAGGACAAATCCAGAGAGGCGCGACCTAACGTCCACCTCCAGGGCGTTGTTTTCCCCGGTTGGTTGGTGTGACTGTGAGGCCTTTGATGTGAAATCCATCAAGGGGGTGGAGCCAGGATCGTAAGCGTCAAGCCTGATGGATTCTGGCTTGAGTGATTTTCTTTGTAGGCAGAGCAGCTTTAGGGCCACAGGCTACCTACGCCGTACTAGTTCTACTATATGTTTCTTGAAGGAAGGCCATGTTTATTACTCTGATGCTAAGGTCTATGGGCCATCTTTATAATATACATTATATATGCACCTGGACCTTCAAAGGGGTGTCCAATGGAGATCCCTGTAGGTAGTGGGCTGGGGCGAAACCAGCCAGGTGACCCCGACATGAAGGTGCTGGTAAGATCTGGTAAGACTATATAAGTCTTTCCCACACACCTAGACCGGTCCATCACCAGAGGCGGACGCAGCACGGGGCGGGGCGCTGCGTCCGCTCTCGGCGTCCGCTCTCGGCGCAGGAGGTGGACCTGGGCGTCACCCGCGCGGTGAGCGGGCCCAACGAGGAGGTCTCCTCTGAGATCCAGGAGACGGTGGAGACGTCGGTTTTGGTGGTGGAGTGAAAATGGCATGGTGCCCGTAACCCTTTTCGTTGTGAGAGGTTTTTAGACATATGTGTATTTTCATATATATATATAATCTAAACAAACCTGGATCTTCCAACGACCAAAAAATTCTGGTAGTTTTGGTTATTGACCCGGTGTTCCGCGCAAACGCCCGCAAATCAGCGCAACCGACAAAACGACCGCAAATTAGCACAAAACGCGCGCAAAAAACCAGCAAACAACCACAAAAATCCGCAAAACAACGCAAAACAAACAAAACGACCAAAACGACCATAAAACCAAAACAACCATAATTTTTTGGTAGTTGGAAGGTCCAGGAAATATAAAATTATGTCGTATAATATTAAGTAATATGACATAATTGAAATAAAGTTAAACAATCTTTTGTTAATAATGCATGCATGGCATGGTATTTTGTTCTCTTTTGATTCTCGTCTGAGTGATCTATAGTGCTGCATGCTAATACTGCAATATGTATATATATATATATAATATGGTCGTAGTATAGGTAGTAGCATGTTCACAGTGAGTCGATATGAACCGACACTGGTAGGACTGGTGGGTTCCTTTCAAGTCATATCGTGCTTTGCACCGTTCGCACTCGTCCATTCAATCATGCATTCCATTGAGTAAAGGGATGATGGGACACCCGAAGCAACAAGCGTCCGAACTGTTGGAGCCATTTTGCAGGACGAAGTGAGCCCGTCTGCTGATGCGCAGCAGCTCCTGGAGGACTTTGCAGCTTGGCATGTGGGAGAGGGGTGGAAGGATATTAGGCAGGTGAACTCCTACACGGCTTTTTGAAGCTCGTTTTTGCAATTCTGGGATTCAATGAGCTGTTTCTGTTGAAGAAGTACAGCGCGCTGCTTTGCCAAATCATTTGACATGTATTACCTGTTGATACCTACAGGTAAGTGAACCTCCTTTCAGCATGCACTGTGATTGCTTCTAGCTTTCTTTGGGCCCAAATCTTTGGGAACTGCCCCAACAAGACCCTCAATTCCAAGCTCGTAGGAGGCACATTACCAAGGCAGTCATTCAGCGCATTTTGGAAGCAGAAACAGCTTGTTAACCTTAATTAATTGTTTAAACCATTTCCTCTGGTAACTTGAGGAAGCTGAAGGTTTTATCAACACTTTGGAGTGTTTCCTCTTCCTTGCTCTCGAGGCCAATGTGAGGAAGTGTACTGTCCAGCAGTCTCTCGGCGACAGTCATACGGTTTAAGTTGTTGATAAGGAATTGCATCAAGCACACTAGAAGGATGCACAAATAGAGAACTTTACCAAGACAAAAGCGTGGTGTTGCTAGTGCGTGAAACTTAGCTCAGTACGTCTTGTCATTGCCAAGGCTTTTTAAGATTTGGCCTGTTTCTGTGCTTGTCCCTTCTAGGTAATGGCTTTGGAATTCATCAACAATATTTGGGGTAGAAGAGCGTGAAGATGCAGCAGCCAGTTTTGCCACACCAACCTGCCAACCCATGCCACCCATGGCCAGGTGGTTCTTCAACGCATCAGTATCGATCGTGCACGTGTGTCCCCCTGGCTCATGCTTGAAGTAGTCAAGAACCTCCTGGGAGACCGAGACTGTCACTGCGGACATGGGGAGGTGGCGACCAGTGAGTTGCCTGAGGTTTGAATCCTTCCAAACTGGACTCAAGAAGCTTTGCTTCGGGCGTTTGCCACTGCAGCAGTTCGAGAAAGAGTCGATGGCTTCTTGGAATGCATGAGCCCACTCTTGCTTATTACCTGGTAACTACCTTTCGTTCATGGCTTCCTGAAAAATTGATCTAGAAGTAGTTCTTGGCGTAATTAGACAAGGATTTCATTACATGTAAGATCACGTAAGTAGTTCTTGGGCGTCGTAGGTCGACCACGAACCAGCAAAGCGCTTGGAGCGCGCGCTCAGGGCATCGACACCTCCATGAAGCACTTCACGGTGGGACGTGCGGAGAAGACGGTGTCGGTCCGAGGGGCGGAGCTCGAGTGCCTCGGCTGAGGAGTCAGGAGTTGGCTTGGCAATTTTTTTGAAAGAAAGGGATGGAGAGGAGAGGGGTCTCAGGAGGGGTCTTTGATGGTCTCTGAGTTATGCTCTTCCATCCGAAGTGATCAACGAATCGAGTCAGCATCACTCAGCCAAAGCTGCGTCAGTGCCCTATCCAGAATTCTAGAACAGCCGCTGTTTGCTGTTGTCAGAAGCAGCTTTGCACCCCGAAATATCAACATGAATCAACCATTGCTGCGTATGTTAAATGCACAGTTGACTTGGTTGACTCATTTTACTGGAGTTGGTCATACTCTTATAAGGTTTTCAGGTTTTCAGGACCAGGTTTGACTCCAGACGTTGCTTGTCCGGACTCTATTTGTACGGTTTTCAGGACCAGGTCCAGGACCTGGTCCGGCTGGACTTGTGTGGACCATTGCTGTCACATGCTGGACTCCTCAGGACATCCTTTCTCCAGAGCCGTGATTGGTTTGGTGCCTTCTACGACGACGTGTGCCTCGAACGGGCGGTTTGGTGATTTTGGGAGCCGCGCGTTGGACGTCAAAAGAGATGCAGCAGCCTGCTGATGTGAGCTTTTAGTTGGGACATCGTGACAGAATATGCTCCAACCAGCCAATTTTTGACATGATCGACCCTGTGACGTCTTTGTCGGGAATTTCACACCGGGCCCAGAATTTGAGACCAGCTCGCCCAGTCGGCTGTGCAGACTGAGGCGTAGAGGGCCCAAGAACTATTGGCTGGGTGAGACAGTTAGGGGACACCCAGGAAGTGAACAGCGTGTATTGCATATAAATGTACTGTATATATAATTCATTGTGTATACATATAATTTATATCTACCTGATGAGGTATTCCTCAATAATCAATAAGGTACAGGATTAAACTTTTTTTAAAAAAATGGTGCCAAGTCGAACCCTCTAATCCCGAAAGGACCTCGCACTGAGGTACAGTCCACCCAAGTTTTTCCATATTGTCTTGGAGTGGATCGCCTGCTCTGCCTGCCACATGACCTCGTTCCTCACGAACTTGGCTGCTTGAAAGCAGGGTGGACATGGCCGGTGTGTGGCCGGCTGTGCTGCGATCTAGACTGCTCCCTGTCACCCTAAGGATCCAGTCGTACGCTCTGGGAAGGTTGGAGTCGTACCTTTTGAGGAGGTACTTGGATCCCTTGGGAATGAGTTGTTCAAGTTCAAATTGCTCCCTACTTGGTAGCAGGAACATCTATATTACTTGTTGGATCAACTGTGAGTCCATGGGTGTGTGTGTCCGCTTCTCATCACGACATGTTTTGCATTTCTGCTTTTATAGACATGAAGGGTGCCTGCCCCTGTTGTCCAGACTTGCGCTCCTGCCCACCTAACTTCTTCGTTTCTGACAACTGCAGCCCACCGCTTCTGAACCAGCTGCGTTGGGTCGACGTGCTTTCCCTCGACGCTCAGGACAAGTTGGCGGCCCGCCATGGCTTTCGCCTGCTGCGTTTGCCTATTGGGATCCTCTTCCCACAGCCAGCGCCCGCATGGGTTTGGAGCTCCGACCAGGCATGATTTTCTCGGACACCAGATGAACCAACTCCATACATGCGGAAACGTTCCATGGCTTGGATAACTATTCTGTTGTTTCACTCATAGAAAGTAGGTGTCAAGAACTTTTAAAGTCTTCCGGATGTAGTGTGCCGCATAGATTTATTATGATTTATTGACCATCCTGGTGCTGACAGAATCTGAATGAACCAATCCATGTCAGAACGAGAACCACTTGTCCTATTGCTTTTTCACTGTTCTCCCCATGTGTTCAACCTATATACTCCAGGATGACCATGGCCACATGCTGTGTGAATCGATATGATCTACGTGCCAGGAGACCAACTTCGATCGGCTGCCCTTCTACCCCAGGAAGCGGATGAGCCGCTGGGCCGACTGGAACAGGGACGGGGGGGAAGCGCATGGAAAGGGAGCAAAGCTGTGTTTACTGGTGTGGGTGTTGGTGAGAGATGTATAAGATATATTCTAGGTGATGGTTTCGGACATTTTGATTTTCAACCCTTACTTGGGGATGATTGGACCCTCTGACTACTGTAATATTTTTCAAGTGGGCTGAAAATACCGGACCAGTATTGGAGTTTTGGTCCTCCATCCCTTTGAATGTGAATGTAGTTTTTTAGTTTTAACCTCTTAAGTTTTGAGCGTTCCAGCTCCCAAAAGATCTTCCCCAGACTTTTCGTTCACCGTGAGACATGGGTCTCAGTGAATAATGCTCCTTTTCAATCCAACTGAATCCCCTAAAGTTGTAAAGCCCCGTGTACTCAGTTGGTTTTGGCACGTGTCCAGCCCAGATGGCTTCGACGGGGTTTGCTCATTTCACCTTCGACCTTCAACGGCCCCTGGGCCCTGCGCCGGCCATTTGACACTCAGGCCTTCCCACCTTGGCGTTGCCACGGGAACAGGTCTATGCTCGGCTCCTACAGGCAGGGAGCTGCCTACATGCGGCTGTTGATGGACCAGATCTCACTGCCATATGCGGCGGCCATGCGCGAATCCACCACTGGGATCCACTGGGCGGATCCTACATGGACTGGACTTGGGGCCAAATGTGGTGCCCTTGAGTTGTCCAAAGAATCATATACTTCTCAAGTAGTAACCTGAAGAGTTCAGTACTTTTTGATACTTATTGAAACCTGAACATGTTGTCAATGATTTGTCCATATACCATTTCCTCAGATTTTTCAGATCAGGTGCTCCCTGCATGTTCATGTTTAGGGAGCATGCCTGCTGCTACAAACTACACACAAAAGCTATGGACATGTGGGGACCTGCTCACCACGGGCAGTGACTTGGACCGAGATTCGCCATGTCGCGCGGACTACACAGACCAGAGCCCCATGGAACCCCTATATGCCTGTTTTGAGGAAAAAAACTGTTCATGCTTGTTAGGTGCTGGGCACCACAGGCGCTCGCAAATCCACAAACACAAACACGGTCTAACACAAAGACCTATCACATCGTCGTTTGATTCACGACGGCTTCGTTTATATCCACTGCGCCGCACGGCGCGTGAGGCCTGGGTGAAGCCGCCCCTGAAGTTCCACTTCATTTTCGCGTCACCCATCCAGGCAGGACGAAGTGTTCGTGAGAAGAACCTACCACCGGTGGAAGGGGGAAGGTGCTTTTTGAGGGGGATGTACTGATTTGTTCGAGGATTCTTAAGTTGGTCGACTTCGATTTGTATCGATACCGGTATGGACTCAGAGGCTGTTCAGCTGGCTTATTAGATGGGCTTATAGATGTTTCTTACGATTCGAATTCGATCGATCAACTGCAATTTTACGATAATTTTATATATAGAGGAGTCACACTTTTTCCCAATGGGTTGAATTGGCATGGGTTGGGGTGGGGCTACCTCAAAAAGAACGGCCTGGCACCAACCAAGGGGTTCTTGACGTTTGCTACTGTGGGCCCAGGATTTCAAGGCCTACCCCATTGTGGCAGAGGAGGACGCCAAGGAAAAGACCAGCGCCAAGAAAGAGGCGCTGGAACCAGTGGCAATGGTGGTGGACGCCTTGGAGAATCCAGGAAATACAGAGAATAACTTTAAGCCGCTATATTTGGCCTGCCCATTTGGTGGATGCTTTTTAGTCTTGGGCCACCACAGTTCCTATGGTTCAATGCTATCATCCCCAGTCTTCTTCTTCACCCGGCCTTGGTTTCCGAACGGCGAACGGACACCGAGTCACAACACAAGTCAACGGCCACCGGAACAGTCACCGAAACGGCCATCCATCACGTCTTTGGAGGTCTATCAGCGCCTGAAAGGCTGGGTACTTTGTGACCCGGACGGTTTCTGCCTGGCCACGCTGCGAGAGGAATGCGCCTCGGTTCGCGTCCCAAGGCCTTCGTTCGTCGCGGGTGTAGTGGCAGTGTTTCTCCAGTGGTTGGTCACCTATCGTCACCTTCCCTCCCATTTGTCTTGGACCTCAAGTATGCACAGACTCTCCAAGAACCCTGGGAATCTTTGGTTGTTGTGGGAGGAAGAAGAAGCACCCTGAAATACCCTGAAGGATCTGTGGGCACTGGTGTGCTCGTTCGTTTCTCCGCTGGACGGTCTGGAGCTCTTGCCAGCTCTTGGGGATGCTTCAGAAATGTTCATAAGATCATTGCAGCACCACTTGCAGAATGAGGCATTTACTTCTTCGAGAACCCCTTGCACATTTTCCACTCGAGGACGCAAGAGCCAGTGCCTCAGGGGATCAGCACAGAGGCGTGAAGCGTTTGCAGCGAGGAGCAGACCTAAGTAGAGCAAAGATATTTTCCAGTGGTTCCCAACCACAGCTCCTCCGTGCTCCTCCTCTAAGTCTATGCCCGATTTCAGGTCAAAAAAGGCACTCAAAACCTGTGGCACTATGACACCAAGAAGCCACTTTAAAAATAGAAAACAGAGCACCACACAACACAAACACCACATACCACCATTCTAATTTTTTTGCTACACTTACAGTACTTAGTTGCATCTAGCCGGACCATTAAAAAATGCCCAAGACAACCGGACTTCCGCCATGTCCCAGTTTCTGTTCTTCCAGCCGATGAGGCGTGTGAAGGATAACCTCAGAAAGGCGGAACGAGTCCATCAGCCCCTGGGACGAAAGCCGCGACAGCGCGGCAAGCAACAGCGAACGCCGACCACGCGGCGCGACGGGCGCGAAGGCTCGCGCGGAGAGATGGAGGGTGGAGGAACCGCAAGCACTTAGTCAGGGAGATGAAGATGAGGCGCAAGATCCTCACGGCGGGGATAGATCATCCGTTGAAGATGGGCAAAGAACTCGGGGTCGTCCAATTTGAAGGGTTTTTTTCCAGGACCCAGGAAAGGATGGAAGGGGGTGGTCAATGGACACCCCTAACTGCAAAGGGGCTAGAAACTATAAATAGACACCCCTTAGGGGGTCCTGGTTATGATCTTTCTTGTGGCAAGTTGGCTTTGCCATCTTCTCAATCAGATGAGGCCAAGGCAGTGGACCCTCTCCACTGCGGCAGTGGAGAATGACACCCAGTCCACCCATGCCAATGTAGTTAGTGATGCATGTTCTTCGCACTTGACCAGTGCTTTGGGGCTTCGATGGCTCACTAAGGCTCTTCTTCCATATCACCACTGCGCCCTGGGTAGCAATTGGCAGGTGATGTGGGTGACATTGCCTCCAACAATCATAGAATCATGAAGCTGAGCAAACCCTCCTTGTAGAGGAAAAGATCTTCCGGGGCCTAAGTATGTTCCACTTCCCTGATTGCTTCAGGGAGGATAGGAAATCCCGACTGATCATCCTCCTGTGCATGCGCGCGCGTGTTGATGACTGTTTGTGCTGCCGCTCTGCTGCGATGAGGACCTTTTGGAATCCATGAGCCAGGAGAAGCCAGCTTGATGCCAGGAGCAACCTGTGTGGCTGAACATCACCTGGTTAGGGGCTTTAGACGGAACGACAGGAAGAAGCATAGGAAGATCTATAGGATCCTATAAATAGGCCCCCATATGGAACATGGTGCACATAGGCCTGAAAACTGCACCTCAAACCAACGGCGTTACACACACACACATATGCTGGGGAATGGATCGTTGGATGACGTGCTGGAGGCTTTTGGGCTCCAGTAAGTCGCTATCAGCATTCACCCACTGGCCACGAGAGGTGTCAGTCCACTTTCCAGGGTGTTTCCGTGGCAAGTTGGCTAATTAGAAGATTTGCCCTTGTGACCAATGCTGCATCAAACCCATCATGAGTCATGAGTCTCATCTGAGAGCGGAGGCCGGGCATGTGAAGGAAGCAACCTGTACCACGTGAGAGTTGCGAGGGTTCTCCGGTCACCAGCTGATGCCCAGTTTGAGGCTCGGCAGCGGCATTTGGAAACCCTAAAAAGTGTGGAATCTCGTGTAGGTAGGGCTCCGCAGGATTAGATGGTATGGCTGAAAGATGAGGGACATGTCTCGCGAAGTGGTGCGCAGTCATTGAGTTGTTTCATAGCACCATCGAATCCATGCAGATCCCTTGTAGGCCATCACTCTAGCCGCCACAAAGACGACGGGCGCGAGGATGGTAGTCCCGTCGAGGGCGATGCAGCCGACAAAAGCCATGCAGTTGGTGTGAGTGGCGCGAGAAGCGCAGGGGAACTGTGGCAGGCATGCCATCACTTGTCCAAAAGACAAAGTCCACTTGTCGTCATACTTACTTATCACCGTCACCTCTCGTGAACATTTGCTGGTCATAAGCCAATTTAGACACCAAGCAGTTGCTTGGCCATGGCCAGCGGCACGAACCACCCTGCGCACCTTGCATGTGCAAAACGGCCAAGTTGGCATTCCGCAGCCCATTTGGGCTTTCATCAGGATCTCTTCCATGGAGCTTCCTGCCCCCTGAACCTGTCCCCCAGCGGGGTGGAGAGATTCGGGGCGCAGTTCGGGGCGCATTTCGCACCTGGGAATGCAGCGGTGGTTCATATTCGCGGCAGGTGTGGCGGTCCACGCCGCCGTGCCTTGGACAAAGGACGAAGGCCGGGGTGTTGGTGCCCCACAAAAGCACTATAGGGGCCCCACAAACCATGGTTTTTTGTATGTGAAAAGCTCTATTTTCATGGGTTGGAGGGCCACAGGTGCCCCCTTAGTCACTTAGAACTCAGTAGTTGACTTTGCCATTTCGACGTCACACCGAGGAGCCGCGCGAGTTCCGCGCCCGGCAGCTGCGAAAGCTGCCACACGAGGGCGCACCCTTCACGCAGGGCCTGGAGCGAGCGCCAGGGGGCGCCAGCGCTGCGGGAGTTGAGTTCAGTATGATGATCTAGTTGCAGTGGCAGTGTTTTGGGGTCAAATTAGTGAATCTAGATAAGTCTATTGTTTTTCAGTGGTGAGCAACCACTCCTCAGAAGTGTGTGAGCTGAGGACTGGAGAAAGCTGCCTTGCGATTAGCCATGAGATGCCAGTTCAGTCTAATCTATGTTTCGAGGGACAGTGAGGTGCCTGAACTTCATTTGACCCAGCTTGAAAATGCAAGGAATGCAGCGGCCCCAGCTGTTCCAAGATCGTTCTGGTCTATGGCCGTTTGGGCCGACATGACTCAACTTGCATAGGTTGTACCCCTTCAGTGGATCGATCATCCACATGGAAACTCTTGCAACCGCCACAGTGGGTCCTGGTCCTGTTGATGGGAGGAAATCCCTGCATCAGCTCATGTGGGTTTTTTAAGGTAATGGTGTGACATGGGCCTCGGCACACCCATCTTATGTTAAAGAAGAGCGCAGAAGCATTTCTATACCTACCTACCATTACCTACCTATTTATGGTTCTTTCTAAATGCCTACATACCCATAAATTTTATGCAATCACCAGCATCCTGGGTGTGTGGATGATGTTTCATGTGTGTTTGGTTCTTGCTCCAGGAGTTGTTCGATGATGACACTCTCATAGAGACGAGCGGTTCATATCCACCTGGTACGGCCTCCTTCATTCGCGACTTGGAAGAACTGTTGACCGTAGAAGGGGAAGGCTCAAAATTTAAATACATTAGAAGAGCAACGTGGTTGGACCACGTGTTTCAATTTCGACCAGCGGATTGAGTAGAGGTGGCGGAAGTCGCATGACACCAGATCTCCCTAAAGAAATTAGTTAGATACATCATGGAGTGCTGAAACACAGCGCGAGCTCGACTCGAAAGACATGAGAAAGTGATGTAAAGGAAATGCGAACGTGCAGCCCTGCAACATCCGGATTCCCACCCCTCTTGCAGATAGGCAGCAGGGCAAACGTGTTCCACGCTGGGTGGATTTCTTTTTGTCCTGAAGCACTACAAACATCTAAAAACATCTATATAAGTAAGAATGAAATGCAACATATATAGACTTTATAGAAATATAGGCGTGGTTTTGTTGCACACAGGACCTGTTTCGTTTTCTTTGTCTTTTGAATTCTCCATCTCCTGTGATGAGCCCTGGGTGCCAGGGCTCGTGGACCTTCACACTGGGCGAGCCAAGCGCAGCGACTCCAGTGGCCTCACCAATCATTTTGCAGTGCCTGGGGCAGAGAAGGTCCAGGTCCAGGTGTGGAGCGGATGCTTTCGGAATGACGAAAAACACCCTGGCGTGACCGCCCGGGGAGGGAGGTCAGGCTATTCAGGCTAGGTGTGGGGAGGCTGAAGTCCAAGGATCGGAAGAACTCCAAGGATCGGTACCTGCTCCGAAACGCTTCGGTATGACTGGACCCGACTTGCACCCGGGGCCCCGGTCGTCCCACCGCACCGAAACGAGCTCGGTACGACTGGAACTTGGAGCCCTTTAGGGATTTATGTTGTTTCCTTTGCTTTGGTGTGTCCCAGAAGAACATTGCAGACATAGCCATTCGCTTAGAATCATCGCCTCGTGATCAGGGAATCAGGGTGGTGAATTTTGTTCACACGGTTTTCGGATATGGAACACGGAGGGCTCGCGTTGCGTGTGCGGAGTTCAAGTCTTGGGAGCGTACAACGAGAAGTTTTAACTTCCGTTCTTCTCACCAACAGGCATTTGGAACAGAAATGATGGTAGAAGTACCTGAGATCCCCACGAATGACCCCCCCACGAACATGGAACCTGAGAATGGATCCGTGGAAGATCGGTTGGACGAGGGTGACGAGGGTTCATCTACAGTGGAGCAATGATAGTGACATGGCCTTGTCTCAAAGCGACAACTCCACAGAATGGCCTCCTGTTCGGTGCACACAGTAAGTCCTTGGATGACTCCACTCCTTCAAAACCTCTTTGAGATTCTTCCGAGAAGGGACCGCCCTGTGGTTCGGAAGTCGGCACTGCGAAAATCAAACCGGGAGTACAACTGGTGTTCGCGGAAAGAACTTGTGAAGTTGTCCCCGCAATTCTCATGGCCGGCCGGGGCATCCAGTTGCCCACTCTTAAACCATTTTAGACCCTTTCTTGAGGCTAGGGCCACTTGAACAGATATTGATTCCAGGGTAGCAGTCAAAAGCAGGAAACAGATCATATTGACATCCTGCCCAGTCCAATCCAGACATTTTTGCTCGGCACGGGCTGCCTTTCCAAGGAAGGCGTGGCAAAGGTGGAAGATGGCTGGATGGTGATCACCTATGACACCTACAAGGCCAATGTGGACCCTGTGCATCCTCCGCCTGATTCTCTCGCATGGGCCGGACCGAAGATCGGACCGAAGTAGCTGGCTCGGCCTGAAGGGTTCAAGAGGCAGTGCATGACAGGCTCTGGTTTTGTCCCCTGTTAGAACATGTTTGAATCCAAAAAAGCGACAGATGTATAATATGGAATCCATCAGACTTGGAGGCACTGAAGTTTGCACCAGACTTGCAGCTCCTGGAGAAGAAAGACTATCCTTGGGAAGGACCCGCGTCGAGGGAGCCAAGTGTTTGACTTTGATCGAGAAATGATCACTACTCTCAGACTCGACCCATGAGACTCGGATATTGACATCCATTGGGGTCAAATGTGGGTAATATATGCCATATGATTCCATAGATGGAGAGGTTGGGATAGCCTCCCAAGACGGAATTTTGGGCAAACCAAGTCAGATGTTCACTTGGCTTTGATGTGACGATCAGAAGACGGCCCGCGGCTCGAAGGAACGAAGGAAGAAACTTGCGCAGTCCCTTCCGAAGGAAAGCGTTCAACCGTGGGTCGCACCACTCTCGGTCTGGTAACCCGTGGCTCCGACCAAAAAGATCAAAAGGCGTAGTACATTTCACCGATGTGTGCAGCCTCCACCGTACTAGTCTAGTAGAAACGGCCACTGCCTGCCTGCCGCCACGGGAAACACCCACCGACCGAACCCGTGAGGATGGGGCTTTGCACACGCCGGAGACAAGTTCTTCGTCGCTTGGAAGGGACCTTTGCTCGTGCCGTTTCACGCACGAAGTCGGCTCGTCCGAAATGCTTTTGGAGAGGTTCATGCATACTGCATATTGCATAATGCATACTGCATATTGGAGAGGGTCACCGTACTATTAATATGTTCTCTTCCTCGCTTGGGAGGGATCCGTTGCTGATGGCTACGTGCCGGGATTGGAAAGGGATCAGCGTCTTTCGTGGCGACAGAATCCGCAGGATCTGGAGACGAAGTGGGTGGCCGATGTGGTGGCTAGGAGAAGGGGTTCCCAACATTTCCCGAATTCTTCCGGGTCGGCACAATCCTGGTGTTTCATGCTGGTCACTGTGACTTTCCTGTTTGTCTTTGTGAAGCCTTAAGGTCTTAAGGAGTTTAGAAGTTCACGAACACGCATGGCTGGGCAGTAACACGATTGCACCCGGCTATGAAAAGGCTAAGGGGATGCACCTTGGGAACTCCATCAGGTCTTGAGCACTTTCATCATTTGGGTCCGATCCTTTCAATGGGCGCTTGGGAGGCCCTTCCTTGGCGCCACAG